ACAGGCGATGCCCGAAGGCCCCCCGCGCCCCTCCACCCGCCACGCCCCACCGCCCTGCTCTTCGAACTCGCCTTTACCGCCCCGTCGCACAGGTCCACGTATCTCCGGACGGATGCCGGGGCACTTACTTAACCCCACACACTGTTCCGGGCGGTGCGGGGGCTGCGGTGGAAACTTTGTCGGGGCGGCCGAGTGCGAAGACCAAACACCCTGCAGCCAGGAGAGGGAGAGGGAGAGAGGCTGGGGAGGCGATGGTTAAATAATACACTCTAATGGAAACAACAGATTCCCAGCCCCCTCACCTCTCTCGCCCGCGCGCAGTCGAAGGGTTCAACATCGTATTGTCGTTAGGTCGGTGCTGCTGCTGGGCGCGCGGGGGTCGCGGCAGCTGCCACGGAGGTGGTGGGGGTGCAGCTCAGCCCGCTCGCAGGGGGTGCGTATCTCCTCCCCCCCATTGTCAAGTGTCGAGTGCGGTGTGTTGCAGCGGACGGCCCCCTCTCCTCTCTGGCGACGTTCGGATGCTGGATTGGCCTCCCCTTCGCATACAATGGACCAAAGAGCAAACAGCGATAATGCGCCCCGGACTCTGGCTAATCTGGAAAAGCGGCTCGACTTCGAGACTTATTGAACGACTATCGTCCACCTGTCGGTGGCGGGGAGTAGTGTAATGACCGGCGAGTCAGTCGTGTGACAGTGACCGCCCGTCCAACTGTGAGCCTTTGGTCGCTGCTTTTTGGCTGATCCGGATGCGCCCCGGCCGCCACCCCGCCGCCCGCATGTGCCCCGGCCGGCCAGGCGAGACACTTCGTTACCATTGTGCTCGGCTCCATTCAATGACATGGATAGGTTTGTTCCGTCCGTTTGTCTTGTGTTACATGGCACCCATAATTTGATCGAGTCGGGATCCAGCAGCGGCAGCCGCGCGCGCCACGGATCGCCGACTCTCGACAAAAAAACGAACGCTTCGCACATGAGCGAGGCGAGAACAGCAGACTGACGCGCGGAAGTTCCGGCTGGGCTAGGTAGCTAGCTGCGAGGGTGAGTTGAGGTGACATGTTTTGTTTCGTTGCGTCGTTAGCATGATGCCACTGCCTTGCGAACCGTTGTATGGGTTGTAACCCAACATTTCTATAGATTTACCACCTCCTTATCCACGAACATGTTCTAACTTTACCTGTGTGCAGGCCATACCCCTCTATGCCAGTGTACTACTAGGTACTTGTTTCGTTCTTCTGCTGCGCATTCTCGGACCAATATGATTGCCCTCCTGTTGCCGAACACCGAAACACCGTTCCGCAACGTATCCCATGAAAGGTAAACAAACCCCTTGCGCACTTGCGCCACCCACTTACAACACCCCGCGCCGCACAAGTGGCCCCCCTGGCGGTCCCCACGCGACACTGTCGATGTATCGCGCCCATATCTGACGCAAGCAGAACGAAACGTCGTGTGTGTGCGCGCATCGGCCTCGGCCGGTGTGTGTTTCTATACTTTTATGCGATGTGTTTATTATTCGTTCCCGGTGGATTTTGGGGACTTGCGGAGTGTTTTTCCGTTGCATTTTGCATCCATGGCCGGCCAGATGGGAGCTCGACAGCAGCGCAGCGCCGTGCACGGCAATCTGAATTATTTCCATTTCAGCGATAATTATTGGAATTGCTTTGCGATCGAAATCATCGATTGCGACGACGACGCGCGATAGGCTGTGTTCGCCGACAAATACACACACCGGGTGTCGAAACACCTTCGGGCGACGACGACGGGATGGTGACATAATGGCCTCATGCCGCCTCGGGGGGTGAGCGCGGGAGAGGGGAGGAGGAGGGTGAGGGGGTGGAGGGGACCACATGGACCGCTCTGTGGCTCGGGTTGCGCTACAATATGCCTAATTACAG